GACATCGCGGCTGGAACTACAACACAAAGTATGGCAATGATAATCTCAGGTACTGTTTATGTGCTTTATTTAATGTTAAAAGCGTGTAATGTGACTTTGAATATCATTTATTGTTCCCAGCCTTGTAGCCGTACTACCTCAGGTCTTACAATTACACAAATGGAAACAAGAACGTTTCAAACAAAATAATACATTTTGATTTATTATGTTTTTAACTAAATTAATCTCTGGGGCCGTGCACTTGCCGCGGGAGCCCGCCCACACGCTGTTCTGATTGGCTGTGGTTTTTGATTGATTTTGTTGCATCTTGTAATCGTGTCTGGTGTGGACAGGCAAATTGCTTGTCGCTGGAATCTTATCGCATCGCGTCTGGTTAGGACACAGTGATAGTCGCACCACAAGATTGATGGAAGGTGAGAATGTAATGTCCAACAGGGAAAAAATTGTGATCTATTAAATCAGAATAGACAGTTCATAATGTACCAATACCAGTTGTCTTCCCATAGATGCCAGAAATGCACAGCGTCTGCTCATTTTGCTCCTGTCATTGAATAAATGTTGTAATGATCTTGCCACCAAATAAAATTTATCTAGACTTTCTTCTGTTACCGGTTTCATATCCATTAATTTCCTAAATGGATAATTGTTTATCTATCCATCTTTGGGCCATATATACACACTTTTTGTTCTTCAGGAGATGCATTTTGTGGTTAAACTTTAAGTCTTACCTCTGCATGAACTCCAGAGTTGCTCCAAGTTCCAGTGGATAACTGATGTTGAGGCAGTAGTAGGATACAAACATCATTACAAGGGCATCACCACAATTTGTAACCCCATCTTTCACGATGGTCTGGTCCACAGCAATCATCAAGTTTTCAGCTGTGAGGGGAGAACTCCCTACAGTACATAGGAAAATAAGAAAAGTCAAAAACATTAGGTTAAAAGAAAAGTCTAACATCACGACTGTCAAAAGACCACATTATTTGGCTTGCATATTAGCACAACAAGAAAACCTTACTATTCTGGGTTTTACCTTTCCATTATGTTAAAAAGTTAAGGGTGTCCACCAAAACATAATTCTCACAGTAACTCATGTATTTTCAAAACAGTATGACAGTTTATCTGTGTAATACAAATTAAGATATTTAAAAGTTATCAGCTGTTTTGATCCAAACAATGTAGATGAAAGGCAGCCAACATTGAGGATACACAAAGATAAAAGCATGAGTGTAATCCATTTGACCCATGAGGTTAAATCCAAGTCTTCTGAAGCAATGCAAACACTTTACTGTTTATAAATATAAAATGCAGTCGTAACTCTCAATTTAAAATCACATATAAAATAAATAAGGCCGTAAAGTGAAACCTAATTTGCCTATACATTATGGCAATGGTGATTAATGAAATTCTATGCTAAAAGAGATTTTTGCTTAAATGGGATAAAACATAAAATACCACATACCACACACAACGACGCAAGGCGTGCTTGGGCAGTTGATCAACTTCAGATGGCAGACACGTCTCATCAACCATCACAAACATCTTGGCCTGATCTTCACTGAAATGTTTCAGAAGCAGCATCACACATCCAGGAAGATAAGGATCTAGATGCTTCGCTTTGGCACTTTCAATGCCTTCTAGGATGCCCTCTATTTTGCTGTTCTTCTTGTCATGGGACATGAGATATGAAATGACTCTTTCACATTTACTTGAGATGGCTCCTCTGTCAACATCCATATCTGTTAGCTCTTTGAAGTGGACCATTATCCCGCACATCTCAAACAGATATGGCCACTCTTTTACCAAAACAGGGGTTTCCATTCTACTTATGTCGCTTCTCTGAGTGTAGAAAGTAGCCAGCATTTTTTCTTGAATACTTTTGGCGTTCTTGCTTTTGTTTTTGTGCATGTTCTTTAATTCTTCTTGTGCACATTTCTGAGTCTCCTCAGTTTCACCCGGTGGCAGCCGTTTTGCTTGCCAATTTGTGCAACCATATGTATCCACTCTTCTTATCTTGGAAGGTGGGTCTTCTCCCTCACTTGCACTGAATGTCTGTCTTTTCAGGTAAAGTGAGGTTTTCCCTCTTTTCATGTTGTCAAGTCTAGCCTGCAGCTGCTTGGTAAGGGAGTCATAACCACTACCAACAACTTGATCTTCAATGACATCTCTAAATGACAGAGGATATCTTGAAACAATCTTCCTGGCAATTTCACATAGATGTTTCTTCCCTGGTGTAGGGCAGATGGTTAGAATCTCTCCTAACATCAGGCGAATCATTTCACGTCTTTCACGTCCTGTTGGCCGCTCTTTATTTTCGAGCTTTCTGGTAAGTTCTGACGGCATTTTACTCCAGGGTATCTCAAAATTGAAGTGCCAGTTGTTATTCACTGGAGTATTTCTATGAGGAGTTGAGACTTCACTTGAGCTTGAGGAAGACTATGGAGAGTTGGAATGAACTGCACTGTATTCATCTGGAGAGGGCAGAAAAAAAAATAGTTCATTAAATTTTAGCATTCACTACTGGCCTATGACCAGAAGACATGACACAACTCGAGTACATTTTTGATGGAGTGTGAAAAAACGACAACAAAAAACAGCTACTGTATGTGAAACACTAATCTATTCTACCAGGCTTAACATCGAATTTAAATGATAAAGCATTTTCAATTGTAATATTGATACATCACAGTCTAACCCTAAGCCTGAACAATAGAATATCCCTTATTGTATTGTTCAGGCTTGTTTGTCTCAGATCAAAAGACAGTAATAATTAGAAAATACGCTTTAATTAAGCCAAAACATTTTCATCACACATACTTGTAGATGGATGGTCTCTGCATGGCATTGTTCCTGTGTGTGTGCTTATACATCTTTCTGGCTCAGCTCTGGTAGGCAGATCAGGAATCTCTTTGGCATCCTTTTCAGCTGGACAGAAGACAATAGGATCTAGGCCTGCAAAATCTTTCAAAATCGCTTTGCAAAACTCAAATACAACTGATCCATTATGTTGTGAGGATATAATATTTTTTATGTGTTTACAACTTACAATTAAGTATACTTACAAAAAGCTTTAAATCTCGCAATCAATTTTCGAGCTTCAATTGGCCTGAGGGTATTAACAAGATCTGCCTCCTGGACATATTTTAAATCTTCCACGGTTTCCACACCCAAGGTCTGAAGAGCCTCTAACAGCAGGTCATTTGAACTTGAATTTGGCAGCACAGAGTAAATGAAGTCAGAAAGACCACTGTCTACATCATCCATCACTAAGAAAAGAGAGAGTCAGACATTGTAATTCAGTGTTAGCCCAAATAAATATCCAAAGTGCAATTCAGCCCAAAAGGAAAATGTAATGTATTCTTCATTTCTTAGCTTCAGGGCGCAGCATATTTGAAAGCTGTTGCTAGCAGTGGTCAACTTTAGTAAGCTAACTAACTTTTTTAGTTAGCCAGCCACGTGCCACACAGTCATGGCCACAAAAATACAAGCCAACACAAAGATAATGTTCTTATAAATGCAACGTTAAATTGCGTTCAGGTAACGTTAACACGAAGCTAAAATGCATCTGCAACCTAGCTAATGTAACATCTGACATACATTACTTGTTTTGTTTTCGGTCGTCAATCTTAATGTATACTCTAGCTATGTCAGTATTGCGTTGAATTTTTGAATGTGTCAGTAAATATTTTCGACGTTACCTCTCTCACAAGTGTTGCTTCCTCGAAAACAGCAGAATAGTTCACCAGCGCGCCGCCGTCTTCATCATGTCGCTTGCTTCTTTCTGCGTGCGCCACCAACGTAGGAGAGTTGTCAATTCTGATTGGCTTAAATAATTATTGCCGTGAAAATGATTTGCTGAACACCGAGGTTTGTGATTTGTCTTTTGCATTGGTTTTCGTAGCTTATTATTTAAATTGCAACGGTCTTTTTTTTAAACAGCTAAACTTACCATACAATATCAACTTTATTTGTTAAGCACTTTACAACAACCAAAGTTGTCCAAAGTGCTGTACAGAAAAAAGCACATAAGTACAATTAATACGCACACAATAAAAGCATTCAAAGTAACAAATTAAAACAAGCAAATAAAGTCGACATCTTACTATGTGTCAAAAGCCAAAGAGAAAAGATATGTTTTAAGACTGGTTTTAAAAACAAAAAAAGAAGAGGCCTGCTTAACACAAGTAGATAGATATACTTTTAACTAGGATATCTCTATTTTTAATAGATCTCTGATAATCTGTGACAAGCTAAGGGGTGTCAGAAAATAACACAATTGTTACAGTATTTCATGTGTTAAAAGAGGCCAGCAGGTTAATAAATGCTAGAGGTTTATTTTTACAGTTAGTTTCGTAAAAATTATCATTGAAAATCTGTTAAAAACAGATATATACTGTATTCCATTTATACAAAGTTTCTCTGTTAAATTACGTCACACAAGTCAATAAACAGTTTTTTTTTGTAATTTTAATAAAACATTTCTGTAATTTAAAAAAACAGGGAAAACACTGTAAAATTTATTGGCAAAAACTGTAAAAAAAATATATTTTTTTTACAGTGTGGGTTGTCGGGGCTTTGTGGCCCGCTCTCTGTGTAAAGCCTTCACCCTGCTCGGAATCACAGGAGCTGCAAAGAGGAAAGCCATCAAGTCCACCATAAAGGCTGCAGAAAGAGCCTCTAGGTGGATTTGGATTAAAAGGTCCGAAACGTGGGCCAACGCTGCTGGGACACAAGTTGGGGCTTGATCATCCCCGGCTGGGTCTCCTGAGGGAGGGTGTCTGATGTTGTGAGACCTGAAACACCCGAGGATCTCAGGAAACATCACTGATGATGTGTCCCAGCACATCTGCAGATGTATCTACGTACCTGTATGGACTTTTCCTTTCTTCTCTAACACTTCCCTCCTTTCCTGCCTGCTAATCTACCAGATTGCCAATGATGGTTAAGCTAATGGAGGACAACCGGGTTTAATTAATTGTTACTTGTAGAGCCAAAGCCAGCTTATGGTATATAATGAGTTGATCCAAAAACTCTAGTGACTGAGAAAACACAGATCTTGTGAGTGGTGACCCTGGCACAGGTCATTGTGTGAACAATGATGCCTTACCGTTGAAAACATTACACCAATGGGGTGCCCAGTAGTTAGTTGTAATGCTGGAGCCCATCATCAATATAGTGTGTAGCCCCCCCCCTCCAACCCACCCACACAAAGCACACAGTCCCTGATTTTCAGGCTACCACATGCTGCTTACAGATACGACCAAATGACTGTGAAGATGTGAGTCAGCTGACCTAAGACGAGGTCCTGGATCTGGTCCTATTCACTCATTTCCATTTCAGTTTTCACTCCATCCACAAATATGGTCTTGAGTGGACTATAAGATGTCTCATAGTTCTCTTAAGTGACTTCTGGCACCCCTGCATATTCCAGCCAGACCTGTTTGAAGTGTACTGCAAACTCTCTCACTTCTTCAGCTATATGTCTTAATCCAGTAAGATATGCCCTATATAAATTACTCCTCTTGGTTCTTTGGTGGTTCTGCTGGGGTTGGCAGAAGCAGGTGAGACTGCTGCTAATCAAACACAGCTAGTAGCCCGCCGCCAAAACTGTTTTACACTCCAGCTGGTGGAGGGAGAGCAGATGGGTCGATAAATCAGGGGTCTGTGCCTATTTGGCTGAGGCCTGCTCCTCCAGGACCTACATGCTCCAGACATCTGAGACACAGTGAGTGGTCATTAATCGCTTGCTGTGAATCTTAGAAGTGAATCACTGGCTTTCCTGCAGTGCTGTTTTCCAGTATGTAAGCCCTGTATGATATTTAATTATTTAGGGGAAATGAGTATCAATAAATATGCCCTCTAGCTTGTACTGTAGAAATGGAGTATTTGAATGTCCACCAGGTTGCATTTCCTTACAGGTGAAGCCAGACACATCTCATTGACTGTCCAGCATAAAGTGTCCAGCTGCACAAAGTTGATGGAGATGCTGATGAAAATATTTTTTGTTGACATATGATGCCCTGGTATTAGCAGTCTGCCAAAAATGTTTGTGATTTTTTTGTTTTGTGCTATTAGAGGTCTCCAGTTGTATAAGTCTCCCATGAATTTAACTGAACCAGCACTGAGCTTCGATGAGCTGGACTTCTGGTAAGAGAACTGAGGAAGTGATTAGGGCCTCCCATGGCTGCTCATAACTGTCATACCTACCTATTGTGTTTGCCCAGGGTATTACCCTATTGTGTGCAGTAATTATTAGCCCCTCTTGTGTTGCACCTGTATGTTCCCCTTTATATTTAAGGGCTTAGGCTTTAGCAAGCGAGTCAAATATTTGTTGTATGTGTTGTCTCTGCTGGCAGTGGTGTGTGTGGCTTCTTTGTTACCTCAATTAACTTAGTCTACGCTGTGCCTTGCAAACATAAATCTTGCCAAATTGTTTGAAAAACTCAAGGAGATCTTGTTATAGAAAAATTTCAAAAACACGCTCAGAAATATCGATGAATATACACTCACCTAAAGGATTATTAGGAACACCATACTAATACGGTGTTTGACCCCCTTTTGCCTTCAGAACTGCCTTAATTCTACGTGGCATTGATTCAACAAGGTGCTGAAGGCATTCTTTAGAAATGTTGGCCCATATTGATAGGATAGCATCTTGC